AATGAGCTAGGTGTGGTAGCACGCGCCTATAGTTCCAGCTACTTGGAAGGCTGAGGCGGAAGGATCGCTGGAGCCCAGCAGGTCGAGGGAGCGGCCACTGCACCCCAGTCTGGGCGACAGAGTGAGACTCCAACTCAAAAAAAAAAAAAAAAGAGTAGTGTGAATTCTGTATCATATTCATGATAGAGAACTGGAATTGACCTCAAATGATCTCTTCTTACACAAAAATTCTTAAAGAGAGCAGTATGCACAGCTTCTTGGGATATGCCATTTCAACATTTTATACTCTTAATGGTTAAGTCTCCACTAAGCTCAGCTGAATTTCTTATGTTTGAATTGAAGCTCACTTCTTTGCTTTGTGTCCTCTTACAAAAAAAGCAAATTGTTAGTTTCTCTTTTAAGATAAATAAAAAGGGCCGGGCATAGTGTCTCAAGCCTGTAATCCCAGCACTTTGGGAGGATAAGGCAGGAGGATTGCTTGAGCCCAGGATTTCGAGACCGGCCTAGGCAACATGGCAAGACTTCATCTCTACAAAAACTAAAATTAGCCAGGCATGGTGGCATGTGTCTATAGTTTCTGCCACTTGGGAGGCTGAAGCGGGAGGATCGCCCAGGCCCAGAATTCAAGGCTGTGGTGAGCTGTGATCCCGCCACTGCACTCCAGTGTGGACGACAGACAGAATGAGACCCCTACAGAAACAAAAAAGCTAGACTTTCTTCACCAAAGGAAACTGCGTCAAATGCTTTTTGCTGTGGTTCCTAGAACTTAATAATTTTCCTAGATCGATGGTGAAAGTTACTACAGATTACCTGTGTCCTCTATGAGGGAACCCTAGTAAGACAGAGAGAGAGAAGGGGAGGCAAGGGCATGGGGAGAAAGGGAGAACAGGTGAATGCACATCCTCGACCGCTGAGCTCAGAGCAGCACCCACACTGTTCCTGTCGCTGTGCAGAGCAAGCTGCTTTCCCGCGTATCCTCCCCGCTCCTGATGCCAAGATGCCCCTGGGAGCAGCACGTTTACTCTTTGCTTGTTTTGGGTTTCCAGTTTATGCCTGTGAGGAGTGCCGTGCCCTCTGTTGGAATCAATGCCCAGAGTTCTTTTTGCCTGAGAAGCATCTGAAATTCCACTTATTCCAGAAAATGCTTTACTGCCAATTTGAAGCGTCTTACTGATTTCCTTCTTTACGCATTTCCGTGTGAACGTGCTTTATACACAATCCCAAAATATTTTTTACTCTTTTCTTTGCACCTCCTGCAAAATAACTTGCATATTTAAAAATACGTACCCCTGCTGCAGTTCCGTGTTATGCTCAGTTCCTCTTTTACTCAGCAGTTTTACTTCACGGAATTTATAGTTCACTCAGGCATGCCAAAAATTATGTACAGGGGTGTTCATTGCAGTGCTACTTATAATAAAAGAAACTGGAAACAGTTGCAATAACTGATTAAAGATGCACTAAGTAAATTATGGCGTATGCATATTCTTAGACATCGAGTGTTTTGTCGAATGAAGGAAGGAACATATCGTTAAATGGAAAATGCAAGGTACAGAACAGCACAGGTTTCTTCAGATAAAAAAGGTGGATGGATAAGAGTATGTATTTGTGTGCAAGACTTGATGCACGTGGCATTGTGGAATCGTAGGCCCTAAACTGATAATATTAGTTACCAGTGTGTGATGGGAGTCATGGTGAGTGGAGAGTGTGACGCTTACTTTCAACCTTAAAAAGGAAAAGCAAAGCAAACCTAACCCTCAGATGAAGAACATCCAGAAGCATAAAAGGATTGAAACAGCACACATGCAATTTGTCGATGACCTGCCTCCTACTTCCTTACAAGGTGCCTCACTCTGTTTCCTCAGTCTACAACCTCAGCCTCTGTGCTTGGCTTCTCTTTGGAAATGCCATCTCTCCTCTTTTACAAATAAATCTTTCTTCTTTTTCAAGACTGTGTTTAGGGCCTAACCCCATCATGAAACTTCACTAGACTATTTCATTACAAAGAAATCTTGTTGATACATCCTTAGCCTGTAACCAGTATTGTCTGATTGTACACGTATTCACCCAGTAGTTAGTTACTTCAAGTAATTCTTTTTCTTCCCACTGTATTTAAGTATAGATTTACAGAATATATATTGTCTCTGTTGTATTTGCTTTGTGCATCTGTCATTACCAATAAATATTTAAGAAATATTTTTCCTGATGATGTTAGTTGAAACTTAATCTAGAAAGAATTGACTGGGTGTGCTGACTTATGCCTGTAATCCCAGCACTTTGGGAGGCCATGGAGGGAGGATTGCTTGAGCCCAGGAAATCAAGACTAGTCTGGGCAATGTAGCAAAACCTCATCTCTAACAAAAAAGAATATTTAGTGGCTCTGTGTTCCATGAATATCCAACTTAAACCATCTGAAATAATTAAGGATTTTCCCAAATTGATATTCAAATCAATATTTTATTTAGAAGGCCAACACTAAAAAATACTAGAGCATTTAATTTAATACTATTTTTTGGCATTTGAAAAATATAACAGGTAAGAAAAAGAATATATATATATTATATATACTTATGTATAAAACAGGTAATACCTTAAATTTAAGTGGAAAGTAGATGGAATCAGAACTGCCTTTATATTTAAGCTGCCATTTAACTCAAAGAATAATTATGTATTCATTAGATGTAGCAGATGTAATATTAGAATCATATAGGTATAATATATATTTGAAGCTCTATTATTAGGCACATCCTTATTTAGGATTGTTATATCTTCTTGGTGAATTGGCTTTTGCCATTATCAAATCTTCTCTATCTTTAGTAATAATATTCTTATTCTTAGGCCTACTGTGTCTGATGTTAATATAACCACTTCAGCTGCATCTTTTGGTTAACTTACCTATGTCTTTAAATTTGCAAGTGTGTGTTTTTTAAACAGCATGTGGTTGGGTTAGGGTTAGGCTTTGCTTTTTTATCCAGTGTGAAAATCTCTGACATTTAACTGGAGTGTTTAGTTCATTTACGTTTAATATAAATCAGCTGTATTCTTTGAAGATTGTTTTGCTATGTTAGGGTGCCTCTTAGAATGAAGTAATCTGTTCTCTAGATTAGAATAGCTCTCTCTTAGAGCATGGGCTTTCTGAGAACTCAACTGAATATCTGTGTTCGATGAGTTGTGTCCACTGGCTAGTTTGAGCTATAGCATCTCTCACTGTTACAACCTCCAAAAATTCCATTCAGTTTACAGCTCCTGGATAGTTGCATTGCCATACCTGTGGGGTCTTGCTTAGTAGTTACTCCGCACCCAAGAAGACCCTTGGCTTTCTGTACTTCCTTTCTTGCAGTTTTCTCCTTTCTCAGCAGCCTTAAATTTATAACTGTCCTCTTAGCTGAGTTTGGTACTGTTGGGGTCCTGCCTTTCTGGACCATAGTCTGAACTGTTTCTCTAGGCAGAAACTCACCATTGTGGGGCTCATAGGGACTGTAATCCTGCACTTCCAATGTTGTACAACATCTGAAAAACGTTGGTTTTATTCTTTTTTTCACTATTAATTGGTTATAGCAAGAGAATTAGTCCAATACCAGTTAATCCATCATGGCCAGAAACAGAAATCTCATAAAAATGTATTTAAAGTCATTCTTTGTGAGAAATAAGGACATACAGCTATGATATAGAACCGTAGACTCTATATCATACTAGAGAAATAATCATGTCCAGCACACTTGTCTGAAAGATGGGAAAATTAAGATATACAAGCTCAAGTGACTTGTAGTAGCTTGTGCTCTGAGTTAGTCATAAAATTAGTTCACACCCCAGGTTTTTTCCAATTTTTTTTTTTTTTTCACTTCAGTAATCTTTTGAACATTTCTCCTGTGTTTGAAACATAATTTTACACTGTTAGTTTTTGTCTTTTAGAATCCTTATAATTTAAACATCCATTTTTTCTTATATGAATAGTATTGTTAATCTCACTGTTAACACAGACATGAAAAAAAGAATCATTTACAAGTTGATTTTAGAATAATGGACATGCTGTGGAGCTATATAATTTCATATAAGACCCAGGGAAGGAGACGCTGAGTTCTTTTAATATAATTGGATTTTTTGTTTGTATTTTCAGTTTGTTTTCTTTGCTGTCTAAAAAGCACAGCAAAGTTTTGGAACAAGCCACACAGTCCTTGAGAGGTTCGCTAAGTTCCAGTGATGTTCCTCTACCGGATTATGTAAGTAGTTTCCTTATTTCTTCAATAAAAAATGTTTATTTCATTGTTAAGCTTATAAATAACAATACCCCTCTCTTCTCAAATCTGACAGCTCTTGGTGCTGGAGAAACCCTTAGTACACCAATGAAAGAGTGATATCACAAATCAAAGGGAAACAATTATAAATGATTATTAATAAGTGGTTGATTGTTGCTGATTGTCAATAATTAGGAATCTTACTATTGACTCAATAAATCCCCTTACACTAATGCCACAAAAACCAAGGGAGGGATTGTGCAAAGATTTCTCATGGATTCAGGGTGAGGAAGTAGGTCTGGAGTCTACGGAGAGCTGGAGCCTGAAATGGAGCAGCCATGCGGTCAGGAGCCTCCTCTTCCTGGGCCCTTGGCCTCCTGATCTCTGCTTCATTTTGCCTTTCCTTTTTTCTTCTGCTCCTTTCTCTTTGCTCACTTGGCTCTACCTACAGTGGCCACTGCAACCCTTCTCCCACCAGCCTGCAGCATGTCCTTGTGAGTGCAGTGCCTTAGCCAACTGATAGAGTTGAGTCCTAACTGTCAGTTCCTAGGAAAGAGAATCTGGTCTGCTCTCCTGTCATCAGTGTGAGACTCCCACCTTGTCAGCCTTGGCTGGAGGAGACAGCAGTGACATATTGTCTGTGTTCCATCCACTTCGAAGATCTAGAGCTTATTACCACCTGCTGTGGTTTGAATGTCACCTACAAAACCCACATGGAAATTTAGTCCCCAGTGTGGCAGTATTGAGACGTGGAGCCTGTAACAGGTGATTGGACCACAAGGGCTCGGCCTTCGTGGATGGATTCATCAGTCCATGGATTAGTGGACTAGTGGGCTATCATGGGATTTATCAGAGGAAGAGAGGCCTGAACTAGCATGTGAACTCTGAAGGGAGTGCCACAGCAAGAAGGCCCTCACCAGATGCAGCCCCTGGACCAAGGTTTCCTGGCCTCCGGGACTGTAAGAAATACATTCCTTTTCTTTATAAATGTCCCACTTTCAGGTATTCTGTTCGAAGCAACAGAAAACAGATTAAGACACCGCCTGAATTAGTGGATGCCGATGGAATAGGGTAAAAAAAAGCACAGGGGTAAGGACCACGTAATAACAGGAAGGAGAATGTGTATCAGTTTCTGAGGGCGTTGCTATCTGTGGCTTTCTGATGTAACTATCTTGCCATGAGCCACAGAAGTTCATCCGGTTTTAATGAGGACCTCCCTAAATTGCCAGACAACGCTGTGGTCTGGTATTTAGAAACTATATTCAGGAATCTGAATTCTGAGTGTGAGGTGGCAATGCATATCAGACAGCTGGAGAGCTGCTTTGCTTGTTTCCAACGGTTTGTTTCATTTCTACTTGGCCAAGCTGATACAAGACTGGGGAACAGCACCCAGTCCGGATGTCAGTCACTGATACACAAAGATAGCTGTGTGCAGCCACAGTCTGATGGGCGCTACTTTTCTTCTCGTGTGTGTGTGTGTGTGTGTGTGTGTGTGTGTGTGAGAGAGAGAGAGAGAGAGAGAGAGAGAGATGTTATGACCTGTCATTCCATCAAGGTATTAAGTTTATAATTCCAAAAATTACCTCAACAATCGTCCTGCTAAACCAAGTAGTCTGAACTTGTAAAGCTCTAATGAAGTGGCTACTTGGATCCATAGCCGTCCTACCTGTGATGGGAATGCTTGTTCTTTCTCATTGCTGTTGGGAAACCTCGGAGGGAGCTGGGAACAATGGGGAATCATGTCTAAGAACTTGAATTCTGCCATCTGCAAATGTGTTGTTATTTTTATAGTTATCATTTGATGAATGTTGTATTCCTGTGCCATTTACTCCACACAAGTGTCTTGGATTTGTACAGTTCCGATGTTGCCGTAACAGTGCTCTTCTTTAATCAGAGATCCATAAAACTGATATTTCTTTGAGGAAATAGGTCACGTAATGGTTTTTGCCAGTCCTGGAGGTGATTGTGCAGCGATCGGACAGTTTGCATTTGTAACATCCATGTGAATTCTGCTACAGAGCTTTCAGTTTTAGAGTCATTAACTATTTTCTTCTGGCATGAAATTTTCACAACATGAAAATGAATTTCTTAAGGCATCTGCTTCCTAGAGATACTTGGAAAATTCCATTTGGAATCTGTCGTTGACAGCCCTTATAACATTTGTGTGTATGAGACAGAAAATCACAGCATTTCCAGATGGGTCTACAAACCTGAATTTTGCTGCCTTTCCTTAGAGTTAATGGAAGAAAGCAGTGAACACTGCCTCAGTAGCAGCGATGACTGTGACTCCCTCCTCCTGACACAGATCTGAATGGTGACTCAGGAAAGCACAGTCACGGAAAAAGAAGTTCTATTGATGTCCTTTCGTGAGAAGTCCGTGTTGTGCTGGTCATTCCTGTTGCTCAAAACGTGGTTTATGTGTGATTCACACACTGAAAGCCACCTCCTCTTTGAAATTAGTCATCAGCTGGGAAAATGAGTGTGTTTCTCCCTTTTCTTTCCCAGAATTTTTCTTGTTAAATATCCTTGCCAACAACTACATAAATTCCTGTGTCTTGGACTAATGCTTTTAACCACTTGTATGCGAAAGTTGGAGAAGGAAGTGAGGTGGTCTTAATGCAACAGTGCAGTCCCAGATGTAGACAGTCTACACCGGGTGGGATGAACCATGTTAGCAAAGAGCTTGAACAGAAGAAGGGTATGTTTTCCTTCTCGCTGTAGTACATAGAGTACTTTCCATATACCTAGAGGTTTCTAAGTTTATTGAGAAAATGTTTATCCTCATTATACTGTGTAATTCACAAGTCAGCTGAGTGACAAGTAGAAAGCAAATTGCAAGTTACAAAAACATGAGATTAGTACTGCAGTGCCACTGTGTTTGTCTGAACACCCCAGGGGACACCTAAAACCTTCAGCAGATCTCTGCTCCCAGGGAAATAGAACACTTCGGGGGGAAATAGAACTGCACCCCAGTCCGCAGTGGGGAGAGGAGGTGCCCTCCCAGAGAGCGCCCTGCAGGACAGGGGAGGGGCCGGGAGAGCAGGAGGTCTGCGACCTGGGGGTGCCTGGTGTTTACATTCTCAGGTTTCCAAAGATGGAACCCGGTGACTAAAGGGACAGGAGAGAATTGTTTAAGGAGAATCTTTCCACAGTTGTTTTCAATAAAAATGAACCTTTCGGACTAGTATGGTCATATATAACAGAACCTGAATATAGAAAATGAAACAAAGATAAATAATGAGTTATGGATGCTTTTGAAATTATAACCATGGTTTTTAAATTATGAATATTGTTAGAGTGTTTCCCTGTTTCTAACAATCATCTTACAACTGTCTGGGATGAGAAGACTCTAACTTTCTTCTAGTTGGAACAAAACCATGTGGCCTTGTTCATGAAGAGCCACGGTCTTTCTATGGGACTGACCATGTCATCTTGTCCAGACAGTAGACACAAAGGCACCAGCCAGAGAGAACTAGGAGAGTCAGGCGGAGCTCGTAGCTTGCAGTTGGCTTGCGAGCAAATGGCACCCCACCACCTGTGGATGGACGTTCTCGTGGTCTCGGTGCCTTGTGTGACTCTCATTCTCTCCCCACTTTCCCCTGCAGTTGTCCAAGGACTGCACAATGAGTGGTGATGCCATTGCTCTGTCAGAGAACAGAATGTGTTCTCATCTAGTCTTGCATCTGAAAATTTTCTTAGTTCTAATGTCTAATATGGCAAGGGTCCCCAACCCTCAGGCCACGGACTGCTACCAGTCCATGGTCTGTTAGGAACCTGGCCACACAGCAGGAAGTGAGTGGTGAGTGAGCAAAGTTTCATCTGTATTCACAGCTGCTCCCCATCGCTCGCATCACCACCTGAGCTCCACCTCCTGTCAGATCAGGGCGATATTAGATTCTCTTAGGAGCACGAACCCTATTGTGAACTGCACACGCGAGGGAGCTGGGTTGCATGCTCCTTATGAGAATCGAATGCCTGATGATCTGAGGTGGAATGAGGCAGTGATCAGCTAGTACTGTTTCCCAGCACCCCCAGATGGGGCTGTCTGGTCACAGGAAATCAAGCTCAGGGCTCCCTCTGATTTTTCATTATGTGAGTTGTATAATTGTTTCATTATATATCACAGTGTAATAATAATATAAATAAAGTACACAATAAAAGTAATGAGCTTTAATCTTCCCCAAACTGTCTCCCCATCCATGGAAAAATTATCTTCCACAAGATCAGGCCCTGATGCCAAAAAGATTGGGAACCACTGTAATATAGTAATTACCAACCCATATAATCCATATGAAAATAGCTTTTTGAGAGCATCAGTGATTTTTCTTATTTTTAATTTTTTTTTTTAAAATATGGGGTATAATTCAGGATTAGGTATACAAGTGGTTGTCATACAGGTGAAGTTTGGGCCTTGCTTTGGTCCCTTCACCTGGTTTGAGATCAGATACCCTTATTGATGTTATATGTCCCACCCTCTCCCCTGGCAGTGTCCTGCTACTGCCAGTCCTTTTCTTACAGTATTATGGTAAATGTTCAGGGTCTACTTGTGAGTGAGAACATGGGGTACTCTTTGATTCTGTGGTAGATCACTGAGTAGCATTAGTGATTTTTTTTTTTAATTGGAGTCTCACTCTGTTGCCCAGACTGGAGTGCAGTGGCCGCTACTGGCCACCGCAGCCTCGACCTGCTGGGCTCAGGCGATCCTTCCACCTCAGCCTTCCAAGTAGCCAGAATTACAGGCATGCGCTACCATGCCCGGCTGATTTTTTTTTTTATTTATTGTAGAGATGAGGTCTCGCTGCCCAGGCAGGTGATTTTTAAGAGTATAAAAGGGCCTTGAGGTCAACATGTTAGAGAACCACTGGAACACATGATCTGGAATACACACCTCCTGATCCAATCTCTGCTTTCTCACACTGTGTAATGATTTCATTTGTGCCACTCTTCTCTATGCTGGTTGCATTGAATGCACTTTGTAGACATAG